CACCCACACCCACACCCACACCCACACCCACACCCACACCCGCACCCGCACCCGCACCCGCACGCACGCACGCACGCACGCACGCACGCACGCACGCACGCACGCACGCACGCACGCACGCACGCACGCACGCACGCACGCACGCACGCACGCACGCACGCACCCACACACACACACACACACGTGTGGCTCAAAATTAAACAGGAGGGGCAAACCGCAGGTTTTGGTCCATGTTTCCACTTACCAGGGTTCCATTTTGGTACCGGTTTTTTGAGCCACAGCCACATAGAAAGCAGAGGGGAAGCCACCGCCAGAGGTGGCTCGCTTCTCGCTGGCCTCTTCCAGGCCGTGCACGCGCACCTCGGCCTCGAAGCCTTTGGAACTCTTCTGCACCTCATAGGCCTCGCAGCGGTTTGGCGGCTTTTGCCGCCTGGACGGAGGCTTTGGTCGGCCTTTTTTGTTTGTGTCTTCAAATGTTGTGCGTGTTTCGATAATTGTTGCATTGCTTTTCTTTTGGGGGGGTCTATGGTTTTTGTTGGTTTCTTCCGGGAGTCAGAGGTTTCTTTTGGGTTCTCGTCAGTTTTCTCCCAACAGCTGAAAGCTATGGATATGGTCTCTGCCCAGATTGGCTCTGGGGCAGCTTTCAGGGAGGGTTCAAAAGGAGCTGGGCTTGTTGATTCTTCTCCAAGATCTGGGCGTGGTTGATGTGTGTGTGTGTGTGTGTGCGTGTTTGTTCTTGTTGTTTTTTTTCTTCGTGGAAAAAGAAGAAAGGGCGTCTTAAAGAGGAACATGGAATCCGAAATCAGCTTCTCCTACTTTCCCCTGGGGTCTCCCTAAAAAAAGCTCTTCCACTGGGTGTTCAACGAATCTCCTGGCACGCACAGGGATTCGCCGCTACAAACACTCGCAGAGCCGAGTCAAAACCCCAGCTAGGTCCTCCAGTAGAGAGGTCAGAATAGGGGTGCCCTTTTTTGTGTAGTCTATTTTAGAAGGGGGGCCCTCCCAACAAAAGAAGGGGTGAGAAAGGGCACCTAGCTGACCTAGCCAAAGTTGATCGGTCTGGAGGGATCTGATTCGCCGCCGGGAAGTCAAGACAGATGCAAAGAGTCGAATCGAACTGCCCGATTTGCGCCATGAATTTCTGGGGTCAACTAGCCAACAACCCACGTTGAGGACAATGTTTGTGATTTGTTTGGTCGCAGCTGACAAGTCTCTAGAATTGCACGGGTAAAACAACTCGAGCCCCAAAGCTGTTAGGCGGTCCTCATCGTGTGGTTGATTTGATTTCTGCACGCAGTGCACAGTGCTGCCTGTACTCACACCGCATCGCCCAAAGAAACGCACTTCCGGCCGACACGCACTGGTCCAGGCCTTCTGTTTTATTGTTCATTGTTTTTGTCTTTTCTTTTTCCCCGGGGGCCTTTTTTGCGTGCGCTGAAAATAACGCAGGACAGAGGGAATGGACCGCCCATACTGAGGAACAGGCCAGCCCACCCTGGAGGGTGTGTTGTCCGAAACTTCGACCAACGGTTGATTCGCCAAGGAACTAAGGCTTACCAACCAGGTTCATACCGTTGCATTCTGCCTTTGACCTGCGCGACACAAAATTGACTCAGAAAACACACGGACAAGTCCGCTCTTAGGCGAATGACACACGTGTTGCTTGGAATGTCTCCGCAAGGTCTTGGCAAATTGGCAAGGAGCCTTTGCAGGTCTTGGCCCTAGACTCGCCAAGATGTCTGGGGCGCGCGGCTCTAGCCGGGTTTCAGCTGCGGTGTTGACCAAGCAAGCAAGCAAGCAAGCAAGCAAGCAAGCAAGCGAGCGAGCGAGCGAGCGAGCGAGCGAGCAAACAAACAAACAAACAAACAAACAAACAAACAAACAAACAAACAAGGGGGGCTCATTTTTGTCTTTGTTTTTGTTTTTCTTTGGGGGGGAGGGGTCTTATTTTAGGGAGGGGGATTTTTGCGGAGGGGGCCGATTGGAGAGGGTCCAACCAGTTGCGCGCCATACGACACACACACACACAGGAGGGAAAAAACAAATAAAACTTTATCCGAGGCGCAATGTCGCCCGACAGCAGCGAGCGGCGCAGCGTCTTGGAAACCAGATTGTTCAGCAACACCTGGCCGTTTGGGGGTCGCGGGTGTGCGTGAATTCATGGCCTCAGGCCCTATCTGTTGGGGATGTCAAGGGCTTTATGGCGTGTGGAAGTGATGAATGAAGAGGTTCCTTAAGGAAAAGTCGAACAAGTAGCGGATTAAGGGGAGATATGAGTAGAGTGAACGAAGAATCCCAAGAACAACTCTGTCTCCCTTTGGCCCTTCTCTTGCTGTGTCCCCCTTTTCATATCTCCAGAGTATTTATGTTGAGACTATTTGGTGAAGAGAGGGTACAGAGTGGATGCCCGGCACAGGAAGGTCGTTACAAGCCTTACCAACCGGCAACAATCCCTATGTGAAGCATCATTTGTTTTGCCCGTGTAACAATCAAAAAAATGGACCCCCCAAAAGTAGATTGATTTTCCTGAAAGAAGCCTTTACCAATCAAAAGAGGTTCCCCAAAAAAATCGGCACACCACAACTTGGCCATTTGAGCAGGCTGGTCATAGGAGAAGGCTTTGTCAGTTTGGCATTGAGGAAAAGACGTACACTTGTCTCCAACACAACTTTGAAGGACTACCTATGCCTCAATAATGGTCAGGCTTGCAACATGGGTCTGTCTTTTCTCCATGTTGGTGGGAGTCTGTAAAAAAAAAAAAACGCTCATATGAGGCTTGCTATACCCTGATTGTGCCATGGTCTACGGATGTAATCTCTTCCGCTGAGGTCTAAAAGGGCCACACAGTTCTTTGTCTCAAATTGAGACTCGTAACTCTGGGCTTCCAAAAGGGGGCAAACCCCGAAAGCACCCTCGAAAAAACATCAGTGAGGCGGGCGAATTTCTGCATGATCTATGGCATTTCAAGAAAGTCCAAATCCGGGGGACTCGCTAATTCTCCCATGTCCACACGCATATTTAGACCATGGCTTATGTCAGTGTCAAGCGGATCAGATCCTTGAAGATCCTCCCGTCCAGCCAGGACTCGAATTTCCATGAACAAGTCGGATTGGGTTTATCGAATGGTTTTCCTGGCCCTTCACCTTAGGTGTTCAAGATCTACTTGCCACGAGTACCAGGAGTCATACGCCATTTCCCTAGTTGGGTTGTGAAGACTGGGTGCTGCGCGGGTGAGCGAAAAATTGAAGCCTGATCCTTTGGTTTCTTCACTGGGCTCGGCACCACTCTGGACCCTCCTGTCCGCGCCCCGTTCGAAGTAAGTCGAGGCCGCTCGAAATCTGGGATCCGACTCGCCTGCTTTTGGGACACATCCAAAAAACCCGACAACATCCAGAGAGATCCTCAAAAGAAAACATCAACCTCCAAACACCTGCAAAATCAGATCAAGCTCAGCTGGTCTTGTCGGTGCAGCAGGTATCCTTTAAAGAACCCGCCCTCCCCTCTCCGCCTTGCTACTTCGGGATCTCGTCCTTCCTTTTACGCCTCGCGAATTGGACGGGACGCGAGGCTTCAGTTTGAACGGATCTCAACTGGACGGCAACCTTTGTAAGGTACCTATTTTGAGAAACACCCAAATGAGTAAAGAAACATCTTTAGGTTCTACAAAGGCCAAAAGAACCAGGCAGCCCCTAGCCGGCATCCCTTGTTGGGGGTCATGTCCGCAGCCGAGCCCCGGGTTGGACCCTGAACCATTTGGAAATGGTGGTTTCCCAAACAACCATTTCCTATGAATAGACCTTGTGATGGACAATGGCAGTTTGGGAAACTACAACTTGTAACTGGTTGTTGCGGGTTCCAGGTGAAATGCGTCACACACCACGCCGGACAAAAATGCGCGTGACGTGTGTGCCGCCCCCCCTCTTCCCCCCCCACCCCCCGCTGAATTTCTCAGCATCCGCCATTTTGCTCAGCGCTCGGGCGGCGCAAACATTGCATTGGCAGGAGCTGACAGAACGGTGGAGTAGTACTCGTTGTAATCCAGCCGCGTGGCCAAATTACTCAAGAAGTGCTCGTACCGGGCCTTGGGCCAGCTTGGGATGGATGAGACGTAGTATTCTAGGCTCGGGGTTGATTCCCCATTCTTTTTGACAGGCTGTTTCCCATGGGTTTGAGGGTTTCCTTAAAAAAAAAGGATCGTTGGAAAGAATGGGGAAGCATCCATGTTAACTCTTGAAGCCCCTATGAGAAGAGATCCTGATCAGATGTGGGAATGAACCCAAGTGGTTTCCGTAAAACAAAAACCACCGATTGGATGGCTTTTAAGGGTCATTCCCTCATTCAATCCCTGCCATCGCACCAAGGACATCGCCCTTTCAAAGCTTTCGCTCCGTGATTCTTCCCTCAGCCATCACCCCCTCCCCTCTGCCAAAGGACACCTAATCGTTTCTCCACATCGATTGCATAGAAGGCTCCGTCTCAAAATGAGGGCTCGGAATCCACAAAGCCAAGATGCGCTCCGAAAAACCTGTGGCCGTCCCTTCGCGTCTGAAAACAATACAGGCGAGACCTCCTCAACGTCAGGTTTACCCCCTAAACTCCGCCCGACGCGTTCTTCCTTTGGGTCCGGCCTTGGATTCTTGCTGAATCTGGCGGAGGAAGGCTTGCAGCTGGCTCTCGAAGATGGTCTTCCACTTGGCCATCATCTTGGAGTAGTGCCGCTGCGACAGCAGCGCCAGGTATTTCCTGGGCGAGCCCCGCCCACCAAAATTTGGAGCGGAAAAAAAGGTGAGCCGAGCAAAAGTTGGCCCCTTCGGCTTGAGAAAAAGCGAAAAAAACTTGTGCAAAGAGCAAAGCACATGCTGTGGAAAAGTCGGTGGCCGAATTGAAACTATGCCAAAGCTGCACCAAATCCAAGGGTGACAAGAAGGCATCGATGTCAATGGGGTTCCCATTTGTTTCGACCGCCGAAAAATCGGAGAAAAACAAATCGCCCCAAATAGATTTTGAACTTTTCGATAAAGCGTGAGGTACACACAGGAGTCCGGACTTCCCAAAAGCTGATCAGTTTTCTCGTGGTGTCCGTGGATCGCCACTTTGGGAGGTTCCAAAAAGCGCAAGAAGGGCAATGGCTCGGAAACCTTGCCAAACCCAGAGGTGACTAACCCCAGAGGGGTTTCTCAAAACAAGGGAAGCCCTCAAAATGCGGGGTGCCCTCGCTTAAACACCATCCACAACGCAGGGTGCGGGCCTATCTTTGGACACCCCCTTTTTTGGAGCTCATGGTACGTGCCAGGTAGATGTAGATGTATACATATATATATATGTACATATACATATATATATACATACATATATAGACATATGTGTATACACACATACACATATGGAAAGACACACATGAATTTTCTAATTGGGGACCCAAATGGGTGGGATGATATCCACCAACCACTCTTCAGGGGTCCCTATTGAAAATTCATTGACACACATAGAGAACCCTTGCCATTTCCTGACTTAGGTACCCTCCCTCCCACATGGAACTTGCCTCGGGCTCGCCGAAGCACTTCCTCTCAAAATTGGGGGGTCTCACAATTGCGGTGGCTCCCTTTCAAGAACCCCGTCTTGCCAGTTTTGGGGTCAAAATCCGAAAGCCGAAACACTCTCTCCAAATTGGGGGGGGTCTCAAAATTCTGCGGTCAGTTGGTTTCCGCACTGCCAGCAAAACCGGAGGCCGAAAATTCTCGCCACGTCCTTTGAGGAAACGCGCCCCCCGGCGCTCGCGCGCTCGCCGGTCGCTCGTTCAAACGGCCGGGCCGCTGCGTGGAGTGCCTCACCCGGCTGAGGCGCCGCTCCGCCGGCGTGCCCTCCGCCTCCTCAGCGCCGACGCCCGCCTCTCCGCCGATGCCCGAGAACTTCCGGAGGTTCTGGGCGAAGGTGAGGCAGGTCTGCAGCACCTCTCACAGCGAGCGAGAGCGAGCGAGAACGCGCCCTCGAGCTCATGCGTTGGCATGGGCGAGGAAGCCTTTGTTCACCAAAGGAAACAGCCAACAAGGGGGGAAAAACCAGAGACAATCTTGGGGAAGATTGGAGAAAAACATCAGGGTTCCACTTTTTGACTTCCGCAAGGCAGGCTTAAACCCAGAAATGGTTGATTCCCCCCAAAAGAGGAAGCCCTTGGTGTAAGTCTACCTTGGGGTCGAGAACACGCCCTCGAGCACATGCTTTGGCAAGGGCGAGTTTGTCTCGCTTGACCAAAAGAAACAGCCGAAACGGGGCAAAAACCAGAGACAATCTTGGGGAAGATTGGAGAAAAACCACCTAGCGCTTTCAAGGACAAAGGAGGTTTCGCCTGGAATGGTTTGGTTGGGTTCCGATAATAGGAAACATTCCAAAAGCATATGTGCGAATGTATCCTTGGGAGCCTGTTCAACGGTTGCAAAACCCCACTTGCGCAATTGTTTTTTTGGTGTTTTCAAGCCCCACGTTCCGAATGTTCGCACCAGTTGTTCGTTTTACCCTACGTTTCCCCTGGTGCTGGCGATCTACAGGTGACCCTGTCTTTCTGAAGGTGGGGAAACCGCGGCCCCACCTCTCAAAAATTAGCGGTTTCCTCGTTTCCCATTGGACAGCCCCACTCAAAACAAATGGGATGGGACCACGCACAAAAGTGGACCTGTTTTAGGGGTAGACGAAACATGGAAGAAAGGAGCAATAAAATATGGCTTTCTGTCAACAAAGTTGCTCAGAGGCAGCTAGTTTGACCTCAAACAAATTCTATACATTTTGGGGTTCTTGCTGTAGACGGGGGTCTTGACTGTAAGAGACATTGACCAGTGCCAGGTAAGCCAGCCACAAAAGACTCTTCTGACCCAACGGAGGCAACCAACGCGACGCAGAATCTTGAAGAGTGTCACAGCAAATGCAGGTCAGCCGGCCAAAAACAAAAACAAAATCCAAGTTGAGCCAACCGAGACCGCAACGGCGATTCGCATGCTGTGGATGGACGAAATCCATTTCGCACCACTTTGAGACCATGGTTGAAACCATGACGTTCGTTGGTATTTACGTTGGGGAGTCATATAATTCCGGGGTTTCTGACGGGTGGTGCCTAAGAAATGACGATTTCGTCACCATCCACCGTGCCTTCATAATTCATTCCGTTGGGTTTCTGAAGGGTGGTGCGAAATGAATGAGGATTTCGGTCACCCCATCCAGCGACCGGATGCCTTGGAGAGGTGGCGGTAGAGGTTGTCCCTCTCCGTGAGCAGCACCTCCCGGAGGCAGGTCTCCAGAAACGCCTCGTGGCGCTTCAGCACGTCGTCGATGGTCTCCGCCTCGTGCAGCGACGCCAGGAACTGGTGGCTCTGCGGCTCAAGCACCTCCCGGGCGGAGGCGCTTGAGCTGGGTTAACAACCCCTGGATTTCAGCCCGCCTTAGTGCAAAAAAAAACGATGTGTTGGTCAAGGAGAAAGCCGGACGAACAAGCGGGGATACGGAGGGGATATGGGGATATGGATTCCCTTGGCGCCATTTCGCGTGTACTTAGTCAAGTTGCATTTAGGGGGAATCCTCCCGTATCCCGGGTTCCTTCTGTATCCCTGCTAGTTGGTTTCCCTGAAAGCTGCCCCGAGGTTTTGGTCAGTGAGAGGTAGCCGGACATGGGCAGGCGTCGTCTTTGGAGGGTGCCCCCTTTTTGGTGGCGTGAAAGGGCACGCCAAAGGAAACTCGCCGTTTTGGGGATCGGCTCCGAATGGTTGATGAAGACAATCAGGGCTTCAACCCAAAAACTCGAGGGGTGACTTTGCTAAAACAATGAGGCCAAATTTTGGAAAGGAACCAATGGATCCCCTTGAAGGTTAGGTCAAAACAAGGCACGCTATTTTTCTCCACGGAAACTTCAAGAAACGAGCGGAAACACCCCTAGTTTCTTTAACCCCTGGAAGCTGAAAAATATCCCCCCCTCCCCGGGGGGGGGGACATCTTTGCCTCCGACCCAACAAGGTCCTCAGAAATAACTGAGACAACGTCACAGCAGGTGACCTTTTGGAAAAGTTGGATGGCCATGGAACAAGAACCATTCTAAACCAAATGAATCCATTGCTTTCTTTCCAAACCAACCCCAAACAGGGCACCTATCACAGCTTACCCCACGTCTAGTTTGGGCTGACCGCTTTTTCGGGTTTCGGCTGATTTTCTCTCGGATCCAAAGATAAACCCCCGAGGCTCCTTCGCATGAGGACGGCTGCAAAAAAGAAAAACAGCGCATCCTCAAAGAGAGACATGTTCTGGGTTCGACGACAAAACTGGGAGCCAAGCGACCAGCTTGGCTGAGAAAATCGGCAGGAAAAAATAAGATTCAGGTTCTGGCCCACATGGGTATGTGTCAAAAGGGGACTCCAATGGCAAAAAAGTGTTCCCTTAAACCATCCCCAAAATGGGCCTGAAGAAATACACACCTTATGCCCAGAATAAAAACTGGTTCAAAGAGCCCAAAGGCTTGCGGTTTCGTTGTGTCTCAAATTAAAAGGAGGGGAGACAACCACCAGAACCAACGACGCCTAGATGCCCGAGCCAGAATTCGTTAAAAGTTCACTGCTTTGGGATGATTGTTTTTTTGTTTAAAGGAAACCTAAACAAATGTGTCTAAAGAGGGGCCCTGAAAGTGGCTTTCGTTTAGTCTCCCTTTGGTCTGCCACCCTCAAGGAAACAGGCAGTCGAACCACCCACGAAGTTTGCCTCTACAGGCATTTGTCAAAACAGGTGAGCCCCCAAAATGATTGGCTTCCTTTTTATCTTCCCTTTAAACCAATGGGTGGCTTCCAAAAACATGAATGACCCACCCATATATGAACAGTGCCGAAAGCCCATTGATGTTTCGTTCTACCAAGATGCTTGTAAGCAAAGGAATATAGGCTTTACTGTATATAATCCTGTGTAAACTGGTGCCATGATTTCACCATAATCAAAGTCAGCCCCAAAGTAGTAGGTTAAAGGGAATGTACCCACTTTCTGATTTTTGACAGCCTCCAAAACAGCCAAGAGTCAAAATCATGAACCAGATAACCCCAATTTCTGACTTTGACCACCCCCCAGTCCAAAACGAACCACCCTTTGACAACCTCCAGAAACAGTCCAAATAATGAGCCCAAGAAAAGACCAGGTCTGGCTCCCGAAATGGATCGGTAGAAAAACGGCCTCTACAGTGGCATAGTAGATGTAATCCCTGCAGAAGTGGAGCATGCGCTGGCGCAAGGAGTAGTACGGGCTGAAGCCTCAGGTTTTCCGCGTCAGGTTTTTGCCACTCGGTGGCTCTAGGAATCCTTACGAGGGGGGTACGTCCGGTTTCTCCCACTCAGTGGTGGTTCCTCTAGGAATCCTTACCAAGGGTTTCTCGCAAGTGAGAGAGTCAAGCTTGAGGAGTTTTCTCCCGCTGAGTGATGGTTTTAGGAACCCACTCCATGGTTGCTTTTGCAGGAATCCATGCAAAGGGTTTCTCGACATTCACGAGTCATGACCAGCCACCAAGGGCCCAAGTAAGCAGGTCCTTACTTTGACGGTGGCACATTTGAGTCTCTCTCCAGGGAAGCCTCAAAGTGGCGGCCATGGCCATGGTCAACACTCCCCCAGCACCCGGTCTCAACTTGGTCCTTCCGACGCACAGATCGCAAGTAGAAAAAAAAACAGGAGCTCTGGAGGCCCCGGAAGTGGCCCCGAAAAAATGCCCAACCCTTTGCCGGACGCCTTTTTTTTCTCGGGACTTGTGGCTGGGCCGGTTTTTCTTCGGAGAGCTTTGGCCCAACTCTCTTCCCCTTCGGAGGGTTAGCAACTGGGGGGCTGGTTTGTGCTCACGCCGCCAACGGCGCGGAGCATTTCGCCACATCTTTATACACACACACACTTTTCCTGCTGTTCCGGCCTGGCCGACGCCTCGATGACTTTTGGTGGGGTGGGGTGGGGCGGGTGGGGCGGGTGGGGCGGGGGTGGGTAATAACGTGTGGAGCACGAGTTGCTCGAGTGCGTGCAGTTCTTTGGGTTTAGTCCCGGACACACCTTCCCTTAGTATCACACAGGCAAAATGGACTTGTATATGCCCTAGCGTATGTCATCGAATCTTGCTAATTGCGACTGGCCCGCCGAAGGCTCCAAGACTACGACATACACTTCATTTCTGTGAGTGTGATTTGCCAATGCCGCAGTTACTTCATGTCCAGGAATGCTGATTGGGCGTTTGCCAGGGTTGTGAATTCCTCCGTGCCGTTAGTGGCGGCGCGACCTTGTTTGTGGCTCATAAAAGGGAAACCAACAACAAGGGAAACCGGACATTTAGAGTATCCCTAAAACCTAACAAACGAGCTTTTCTTGCTGAGGAATCAGCTGAGCCAAGTCAATATTCATTGTATCCCCAAGTGAGATGGTGAGCTACCTTCCTTTCCCCATTGGTTATCCCCACTCACCCAGAACCCCAGTGGATGTCCACGGAAAAGGCCAAAAGGATTGACACTCTTCTTCCGGCAGTTGATTTCAAAGCTGCCCCTCCCAAAAAAAGGTCGCAAACAAACCAAGCGCGTCTTTCTCCCCTCTCTCTCTCTCCCTTTTTGCTGGCTGCTTCCTTGCGGTGGAGGGCAAAAACCCTACCCGGTTCGGGGGAGGTCTCCTCTTATCGGGGCGAGGCGCTGGAGTCGAGGCCCAGCTCCTTGGTGTACTGGTGATCCACCCAGACCTCCACCAGCTTCCGCTCCACGTAGCGACAGTACAGCAGGTGCCGGAAGATCACCTCCGGTTCTCCGGTCGAAAGCAGCGGGGAAACCGGCCGAAACGGGCCGCGAAGCGGTTTCGGCGAGGTCGGTTTTTTTCGAAACGGGCGAAACCGGCCGGCCACCGGCGGAAGGGCTTTTCCTCGTCTTCAGGGTGTCGAAGGTGTTTCGTTGCATTGTTCCTTCTCCCCTTGTGGTGTGAAACATGGCCATGGTTGGGGGTTGTCGCAAAAGCGCTTTGGTTCTTGCGGGAGTGCCTTCCGAAAAAGCCTTGGGGTGAAACATGGCCACGGGGTTTTGCAGGAGCTTTCCCAAAAAAAAGAACCCACGGCGCGGGCTTTCTCATTTTGGAGCCATCAAAGCAATAGTTTTGTACTTTGAGACAGACCCATGAGTTTTACTGGACTTTGTGGGGAAACTAGAAACAGCAAGGGGATCTCCTTGCATAACCCAGGCAAAAAGTGAGGATCTCAGTTTGTGTGGCTTCAAACATCGCTTCTTTGGCCCTTTGGTGAGTTTCCTTTGGAAAGGGTGATCTTGTGTGCCGTGGACATGGTTGAGAAAAATGATCTTCGGTGCAAACGTGAGAGTCCCGTTCCAATGGGTACTGTGGATGGACAAAATCCACGCCAAACGGCACCAGTTGGAATTGCTGGTATTCAGATCGGGCTTCAGAAAGACTTTTCTTTGAATTCCGCACTTCTTGCGCTAGACCAAACATTTTGTGTTTCTACAGTACATGATTCACAAATTAGAACTCATTTGCTACTCATGGGAAGCATGTACATGCACATATCTCATGCGAAGGCCTTGACAAGGGATAACATGCTGGCCCACAATGATGATTCAAACTGGGCGCATTCATAAAGCAGGGGAGATCCTGAAAAGCAAATGTCATCTTTGAGAGACCGAGACGCCTGGCTCAAAAATACCAATCCGCTGATTAACGCCAAGGCAAAGTATCAAATGTCTTCATCTCCAGACAGAAATGTCCGACCACCCTTCCCCCCGAATAATAATACTAACAAAACATCCCGATTTGCCCTCCCCCCCCCCACCCCAAACCCACCGCCCCACCGCAAACCCACCCCCCCAACCAAACACACACACGCACACACACACACACACACACACACACACACACACACACACACACACACCACTCGCCACACGCCACCCGCCCCCCATGTTGCCTGGTACTTCAGCAGGCTGGTGCGCGAGAACAAGATGGACAGAGGCCAGGCGGTGCCTCGAGCGGGGAGAACCGAGCGGGGACAGGAATCTAAACGTGACAAACGAGAAAAACAAAGCGTTAAAACAAAAACACTAAAAACCTGAAAAACTAGAACCCTAAATACCAAAAACCATAAAAACCTAAAAACCAAAAAAACAACACACACACACACACACACACACACTAGACAGCTAAGGAAGATCGAGGGGCCAAAGAAGTGAAGGTGATTTAAGCCTATGGTGAGAGAGTGATTTGATCCAAATGGGTGTTTCTCAAAGGTTGCTGTTGACCCCTCTGCCAAGAATCACTTCGTGCGGGTCGAACGGAAAATCCTCTTTCCAGAAACACCCATGCGAGTACCATGCCTATCCCTGAACCAGGTAGAACCACCAGCTTGGAACCACTAGCTTGGAACCACTAGCTAGAACCACCCAAAACCACCCAAAACCGCACCAACCTAAAACCGCTTAAAACAAACCTAAAACCGCCTAAAACCGCCTAAATCCAGCCTAAACCCTAAAACCAAGCTAAAACTGCCTAAAACCAACCTAGAACTAACCAAACCCCGCCCAAAACCAACCTAAATTCGCCTCGCCTCAGACCTAGAACTGCCCAGAACCAACCTAACGCCTAAAATCCGACCTAAACACGCCTAAGACCAACCTAATCTCACCTAAAACCGACCTAAAACCGCCCTAAAACTGCCCTACCGCCAAAAATATGTCTTTCCCTCGAGGTGCGGTACTTCAGCGTCAGCGACCGCACCCCGGAGCCCTCCCCAGCCGCCCCCAGCGGCGCCGGCAGCGGCGCCGCGGAACCAGCCGTCCCCGCCGTCGAGGCGGCCGCGTCCTCCTAACGGCACCCTGGGGGTTCAAGGCTGGGTAGCTCTGCCCGTGCCGGTTGCGGAGAAGTGCTTTGAGGGTGCCCAGATTGTGTTGTGTGGGGTTGATGGCCACGAGGGGTTAATGGGGTTAGTGGGTTTACTTGGTGCTCAGTAGAACCTGAAGATTAAATTCACCACTTGGTGCGAAGAAATGAGTCGCCCTCAGGTGTGGAGGCTGGTTGTTGTGTCTGTGTGGGAGGGGTTCCTGTGGAACCTTCAAAATTCGTAACAAAACCAGAAAAACCACCGCCATCTGCCGAACTTCAGGCGCTTCCCATGTATTCTCTAGAACACTGAGCGCTCCACACTCTGATTGGTGCTTCCCCCAGCACCGTTTTGAGCTTCCGTTTCAGCCATCCAAAGTCTTGTGGGCCATGTGAGGGTTTCTGAATCACAGAAGTACTTTACCATGATTTCAGCTTCACTTTAGTTGGTGGTTTGGAGCCCGAAGTTGTGGTTTGGTGGTTAGGTGGTTTCCCATTGACCCTCTGCAAGAACCAACAAAAAAATGCATCTTCCCCGCTCCCAGCTGGATTCCAACTCCAACTCTTTCAAGTCCACCTGTTGGTGAAACGCCCACTGTGATACTCTTGCTGGTGCTCGGGAGGGAATGAGGGAATGACCCTTATGAACCATTGCTGGTCGTTTCTTTTAAGGGACTCCCTAGGTTCATTCCCACCTTCCCTACCTATCGCACCAGCAAGTACTGGCAGACCTCCACGCCTTTGCAAGGAGCCTTCCGTGGCACAAAACGCCGGCTCACCCTGTCCTTGTCGGTGTCCCCCTTGATGCGGTGGCACGCGTCCTGGGCCAAATGTCTGGGTTCCCACTTGACGTTGGTCACACTTGCCAACTTCAAGCGAGTGGGCTGAAGATAGATCTGGGCGAAGGGCGGACAATGAAAGCCCACAGCTTGCCACAGCGCAGGTTGGAAGTTAGCAACACTCATTCCACTACACTACCCTGCAAGCACCACGTAAAGCGCCGAGGCGTTGAACCCCGAAAAAACAGAAGCGGGTTGTGTTAGGACAGAGCCGGCTTTGGCCAGACGGAGCACGGGGCCCTACCCATGGGCTTGATCCTGCCAAGCTGTAAGCATGGTCACTCAAAGAATCCTGAGGAATATGCGGACCGAAGTGCGAGACTGCCTGCTGATTCTCGCTAGGACACAGTGTTGAATTCCACATTCGGCCTCCAGAGTGTCACACAGTACACCCTTCTGGGTATGGAGTTTAACTTTCACCGGTGGACATTGGGGTGCTATATCCACCCACTGAAAGGAGGGGCCTATTAAAACATCGTAGCTACGTGTTTCGACCTTGTGGCGTCCACATAGTTTTCTTTGGGCCGCCAATGTCAACAGTCTGTGAAACAACTTCGGATGCTCGAAACACCTATGGCCTGAAGAGGCCATTCCGTCCTTTTCGGGGTATGGGGTTACAACACGTTGGGGAGAAATCAGAGCACACTTGGTCCTCCACTTCGATTTTCCCTTTATCAGTATGTCCATCCACGGCGTACTCACTTCTTAAGTTGGGTTTCATACACCCAACCCCTCCCAAATTGGGACCCTTCATACCTTTCGGTCGCTCGCATCGTGCTCCATGTTGCCCTCCCCACTTCCAACGCGGCTTTGCGCCTCCACGCGGAAGGAGTGCAGACCGCAGGAGATGTCCTGATCCGAGAAGTGACGGCCTCAAGAAAGCCTTCCAACAGATGGTCGGAGGATTTCATTCACCCACGGATTTTGGACCATCTAGTTTCCCCAAAAAAAAACTAGCCAAAGTTTCCTGATAGGTTCATGATGCAAAGGTTTGTCCTATTTTTTGTAAACCCATTTTTGGGCGGTGTCCCTTTGGCCCGCCCGTGATGCTAAGTCACTGCAAGTTTGACCTGTCCGTCCAAACCACAGAACAATTGTGGTGCTCCTCCCTCCAATTTAACATGTCCCTCTAAACCACCAAACAAAATGACATGTGTCTCCCATGAGACTTGCCCCTCCAAAATGTCAGAATATGAATTCCTCTCCAAATGGCATGTTACTCCAAATTGAAATGGAATTCGGTATAGAACTTAGTAAGGACAGAGTTCATCAGAATTTCTATATTAAATTGGAATTTCAATAGGAAAGTTGGTGTTTTCAAACAAAGACATACTTGAATCCAACAAGGAAACCCGTTTTCGACTTGTTGACGTTCAATCCTCGAAAGACGAAACATCTGCTGCCATAAAAAAAGGTAAAGATCAACAACAACTGAGTTTTCAGTGCTTTCACACATGCGGAAGAAAGAGATATGAAGTGCAAGGCAAATACGCCACTGTCCAACAAGAATGCCCTACGAGGAGACCATATTATATATATATATATACACGTGTATGTATATATATATACATATATATATATATATATATATGTATACCAATACATACATATGTACATATGTATATACATATATATATATATATATACATATATATATATATATATACGTATATACATATATATATATACGTATATACATACATACATATACAAAAACCTGCGTCGCACAGAAAGGGCCCCCCGTTCTCCTCGCGGAAGGGGTCCGTGGCCATGGAGGAGGCCCTCACCGCCAGGTCCAGCAGGGAGTCCAGCCGCGCCAGGGGCACCTCTCTCGCTCGTTTGGGGGGGGGGGGAGCCACACGAGCTCCCGGCCTCGCAGCTGTTTTCTGCCCCTTGTGTCCATAGGTGTCCTTCTTGAGAAAATAGAGGGGTTTCCCCGGTAGATGATTGAACCACCAGGTAAACCACACATCGCCTTCTACTCTTTGACAAGCAAAACCACCCAAAAAGGACGCCTCTGCCTCTTTCGCGCCTCTCGCGGGGGACGTTTTGGTTCGCTGAGCAGTTGTTTGGGGGAACTAGCCCCAGTTACCCCGCTGAAGTTCACGTAAGGAGACAGATGGGTTTTTGGGGAGAGACCGCTCGTTCCAACTGGTGGCTGGGAGCCCTTGGTTTGGATTTGGTCAATGGGACTCCATGGCTTCAAAGGATGGCCTCCAAATGGCAGGTTTTAGTCCAAATTTCCATGTGTGATCGGGATTTTGGGGTGTTTTTTCACCCTCAAAATCAAACCACAGGCAGGTTTTTGTCCAAAGTTGCGATCGGGATTTCGGGGTGTTTTTTTTTTCACCCTTTTCACCTGGAACCTGACGCTCCGTCGGTCGAAAAGAAGAAAATGGTCCCAACCAGCCCCGCGAAAGGCTCCCAGGCTTTCGTCCCCGAAAGGATTCCACCAGCGGATTCCCCGAGAAAACGCCGCGGCGCTCCTGAATTGAACAGCAAACCTGAGCATTTCAGATCACCAAGGCATCCCCATAGCAGGGTGTTTGCCGTAAAGTGGAAGCTGACAGTCTTCGCAGACTATGTGCCTCTTATGAACCCTCCTGCCCCTGTCCACTTCCACTAAAAAAATGCAACCATACATGGACATTTCTTTGTTGGATCACCCTAAAATTGATGGGGATCAGCGACCGGGCAATTACTTTTTTCCTGCAAAGCATGGCTGGGATCGCCCTTAAATTGGGGGAACAGCGACCGAGCGGCCTCCAATTTTCTCCCTGGCAGATTTTTTGGATGTTTTTTTCTCTCGGCCCGCCCACCGGCAGCCCACCAAACGCCCCCCAACCCCCCCCCCAGCCTCCTCGGCGGGCCGCTCCAACTCCGCGGTGTCCAGGAAATGGCCGAACCAATCCGCCTTCGGCTGGAGCTGGAGGCTGGAGGCTGGAAGTGAGAGAGCACAAATGTCAAACGATCGATTCCTCCAAAACCTGGGGGGACATATAATAATAATAATAATAATAGTAATAATAATAGTAATAATAATAACAATAGTAATTATATATATATATGACATATGGTATGGGTTGTCCAGGACCCCCCCCCGGCCAGAGACCCCGAGCCCCGGATCCTGTCACCTACGGTCCCACCCCCAACCCCGACCCCCTGAACTCGCACCCCGACACCCCGGCACCCCCACCCCCAGGACAAGCCAACCTGCAACCAACCATAAACCAACCCTAAACCAACCCTAAACGAACCCTAAATACACCCTAAACCAAACCCTAAACCGTAGACCTCTAAACCTAAAGCAACCCTAAATCAACATAAACCAACCCTAAACCAACCCTAAACTAACCCTAAATACACCCTAAATATACCCTAAACCAATTCTAAACCAACCCCAAACCACCACAACCCAACCACAGGACCACAACCACAGGGGGCGGGGGGGTACTTGTCTGACCCATGACATTGGTGGGGGGTGGGGGCTGGCAACGCTGTACCATATATATATATATATATATATATCAAAAGAAAGCTGGATGGAGGCTAAAGTTCATACCCATATGAGCTTGTGCGCCCTCGTTCACCTCGATAAGGGAAGCGAACAGGAAACCGATGCCATTTTGCGGGATATAGCTGCTTTTGTTTGCCCCTTGGAAAACATGAGAAATTTTGTCCAGTAGTGATAGGTTCCCTTCAAAAACCAACAAGAAAAAACAGGACCTATTCATTTCAGCAAATGGAAGTCTTTCTGACGTGTATTTCACCATAAGAAACAAAGGCCGCTCCCCATATTTCCCCGAAAAAGGGAGAAGAAAAAAGAAGAAGCCAAGAACAACACACCCCTCCACCCCCCACAAAAAGTTGACCTTCCACGGTGTTCCCAAAAAGCTTTCAAGCTCCGAACACCCCCCGGGGGATTTCTCGCCGGGCTCCCATCGCCGGAGAAAAAAATTTCCGAGCGACTCGGAGCCCCGGGAAAGGGATCCGGAGCATCGAGGGCTCGCCGACGCGGAGAATCGGTCGCATCGGTGGCATCGGCGTCGGTGTTACGTCGTGCGGAGAAGAAGCCAAGGCCAAGTGGAGCGGCTTTTTTTGTTTTTCCTTTGGATGGATTTCTGAGTTCCTGGAATATATATATATATATATATGTTTTTTTTCTTTTTTCAGTGGCCGTTCGTGTGATCCCCAAGGAGCTTCAGGGGTTTTATGAGGTCATAGAATCCCCAATCGAGCTTCGCCTAGCCCTGGAGTTCGGCTGCGGGCACTGCTATGAACTCCTCTTGGATTTGTTGTGGGTGAATCCTCGATGGAAATACAGGGGGCCTTTTGGGGCCATGGGTTCAAGGCAGGATTCCTCGAAGCAAATGGGTCGTTGGCTCTCATTGGGCGCCTTTTCCCTTTCTGCCCCAATCTCAGGCATTCCCGCCCAAAATCCCTTCCCGGAAGCCCTGAGGTTCTCCAACCTTGGGCCCCCCAAAACCTCACAGGTCGGACCCTCGACCTGCGGGACCCGGCACCTTGCTGAGGAAGAAGAAGCTCCGCAGCGACTTCAGCCGCCCAGGCAGGTCCTTGGTACGGACGAAACCCCACGGGGGAGCCCATCGTTCACCCAGCTTGATGCATCCTTCGACGTGTTTGGCTCCAAGCTCCTGTTTGAGGAAGGCTCAAATGCCCGGTTTGCCCCCCGGTTGCCCCTGAAGAAGGACGCCCTTTTTGAAACTGACCATGTTTTAGTGAACCACCACTTGGGTTTGGGCGAGTCGATCACGTGCTTGGCGAGCTGGCGAGGCTCCGATCTCACTTCAGTCTCCGCTTTTTTGATCGCTGTTTCATGCTTTGGATGAGCGCTTCTCCTGTAGCAAGTGACATGCTTCTCGTGTTGGATGAGTTTCTCGGTTTAGGGTCATCTCCTAGTTTCCCGCAAGCTTTGGGCTCGATCTGCGTCTGGCAATGGGGTTCCGGGATTGAAGTGCTGCAAGTATTGGGCGTGCGTTTTGTGTTTTGAGACCAAACGTTGATGCTAGAAAGGATCTGCTTTTTCAACGCGAACCAAACGCATCACCTGAAGTTTGGATGTTCGACGTTGGCATTTCTGGCCAGGCAAGGAGCCCAGGCTACCCGTTCTTAAGATCAAACCCTGAAGGCAAAACCAAAAAACTATTTCTTGGAGAAATATATTCTTTTGAAAAAGGAGCTGTATCTTAGCTTCCCTCTCTTTGGTGGTTCGGATCTTTATGGTTTGGTGGTGGCTAAGGAGGGGGTTCCCATTAACCCTCCGTTCAAATCCACATCCAACCCGCCAATCCAAACCACCTAAGGGTTTGAGTAGACCTTTGGTGGTCTGGATTTATGCTTTGGTGGTGGCTAAGGAGGGGTTTCCAGCTAACCAGAGCCTCTACAAAAGCCAGGGACCCCTTCAAATCCAAATCCAAACCATCATCACCGCCTACTCTAGACCGCCCCAAGGGAGCCAGTGCCAGTCTCCCGCTTTTTTGTGCTCGGAGTGTCAAACAAGCTGCCCGTCCCTCGGGCGATTCTGCGTGCCCTCGACTCATTTACTCATAGAAACCTTTTCCTCTGGTGTTGTTCCATTCAGCTCCCCTCAAAAGTCCACCACGCGTCCGTCTTGTTTTTTCCGTTTCTTTTTTCAGGGGAAGTCCGGAAGGGGTGGGTGTCCTGGTTCCCCTTCAAGCAACCGCAAGAAAGCGGCGCCCTAGGCAGATCCTGCGGGACCCATTCAGACCCTCAAAGGCTGGGGACCCCCAAGCTGGGAGTTGGTCGGCCCTTTGGGTGGAGCCAAAAAGTTGGGTTTCCGGCAAACACGCACACATTTGGTTACCGGACCTTGGAGAACCCCTCGAAAATGCACGATCCAAACCACAAACCCCCTTTCAACCCACTCCCCCCCCCCAAAAAAAAAAAAAAGAGCGAAACACCCCCTTTTTAACTCCCCCCCGCCCAAAAGAAAAAAAAGCAAAACGAAAAAAATGCCCCCTCCCCCCCCCCCCCCGGGCCCCCAAACGGAGCCTCCAAAAAAGAAAGGAGGAGGAAAAGAAGAAAGAAAAAAAAGGCCGCCGCGCGGCGCCTAGCCAAGTCTCGAGGCCGCCCTCCGCGTGGCTCCGCATGAAGAGCTCCAGCAGCGCCTTGGCCGCGCGGCGGTACGCCGCGTCCACCGCCGAGGCGAAGTCCCCGCGCCGGCGGCTGTAGCCTGGACGGCTTCGGTGCAGGTTGATGCAAGCTATAAAAATATGGAGCCCAGAAAACAAGGAACCTGCAGTTTAACATGGGAACCCAGAAACCCGCCCGTTTTGTGTGTGTGTGTGTTTTGTTTTAATCAGAATTTCTCCTTTTGGGGGACCCTTCTTTACTAGGTCCTCCAGATTTGAGAGGTTAGAAGAAGTTGGTGCCCGATTGTGTTTTCTGGAAGGTCTATTTTGGGGGAACCCTCCCACCAAAAAGGGGAGAGAAAGGGCACTACTGGCGGACCTAGACAAGGTATAAAGTTATTCCGTAAAAAGAAGGCTTAGGGGTTAAAACCCCACAGGAGCTAAGGGGAAAGTAAGCCACCACTTGAGGAAACCGGAAGATCATTGCAAAACTTGAGCTGAAGTGCAAAGAACTGAGAAGAATTAAGGGATCGGACCCTTTCGTGAACCACATGGGGGTTTATGCCCATGAACGAAAGGGCAACCTCACTTTAGCCTGACGTTGCAAGGTGATGGTCAACCCATGTGGCCATGGGTCAAAATCTAAATCGTACCTGCAGGGAACATCCCAATCCCCACTAAAATAGGTTCTAAAATGAGTGGTGAATTCACCTACCCCAAAATGGGATCCCATTGGTTTTGACCTACAGCCATGTGAAGATTTCCATGTTTCAGGTCGCTTCACATCCGAGGAGCGGAAGGGAACCCGGCCCCCCAAGGGCTCCGGCAGGCTGGCCCCCGCTCGCCCGGCCGGGGCGGCAGAGAAGAACCTCAGCCGAGCAACCGCGCCGGTGAGTCAAAAATCAAAAACCCGATCGATGTCAAGATGGAGAATGGTTCTAAAGGCGGCGAAGGCACTCATTTGGCCACGGGTCAAAAGCCAAATCGTACCCCCAGTGAACATCCCAATCCCCACTAAAATAGGTTCTAAAATGGGTGGTGCACCTACCCCAAAATGGCACCATTGGTTTTGACCCACACCCGTTTATGGCTGGGATTCTCCCCTAACCTTCATCTACATGGGTTTTTGATTGTGGCTCGGGCCTCGCTTTGCTAATGGCAAGTAGTCAAAATGCGTTTTGCGGCCAACTGCAAACCAACGGAGCCAGACCTCAGCAGTGTGGGCCCCATCAAACATCAACAGAAACCCCCAAAACAAAAACAACTTCACCCCTCCAAAACGAACAGACCACCAAAAAAGAGAGGGAGAGAGAGACAAAGAGAGAGAGAGAGAGACAGTGACAAAGAGAGAGAGACAAAAGAGAGAGAGAGAAAGAGAGTAGCGCAAGCCGAAAGGCACGTGCAGGTACTTCCCCGCGTGCAGGATCCGCTCCCGGCTGGAGACGAGGAATTGGGGCACTGCCCGCTCATCCAGGGTGAAATGCTTCTGCCAGAAGTCTGCGGCTGGACCTGTGCGCTCCTCGGCCCAAGCCGGAAAAAAATAAAAGAGAGATGCTTTTTCTCGTTCCCAAAGCGTGGAACGTTTGGAAGGAACCGAGGTGGGGAAAACCAAAAAAAAAAACCTCCCAAGTTGGTGCCTGAGCGAACCCCTTTGGCAAACCCAGGCCGGTGCAAGCCGGAGAAGCGGGCTCGGCTTCGGGACAAGGACACATTTTCACGGACCCCAAATTTCAAGTCCGGCCTTCCTTTGAGGAGGGCCCCCCCCCCATTTTGAGGCTCAGTGCAAGACATTGGCTTTCTACCATCAGAGAAACAAAAGCCGAAGACCAAAGAAACCATTGCAAGAAAAAACCGACACCATAGGTGTCCTTTTAGGGGAACACCAGCAAACGTTTGATCCAACCCGGATCTCGTCAAAGCCGCATCGCGCACCCGCGGGTTCTCCGAAACGAAGAACTCCCCGTAGGGGTCTTGCAGACGACCCTCGTAGACCCAGAGCGACATCATCTCGAAGTAGGGACGGCAGGCCTCCTGAGGATGGGAGATTTCGGAAAGGCCCCCTCTTTGGCACAAATTCCAATGTTGCATGTGTGGTAAAAGGGTTGCGAAATCCCCATAGGCACCACCTTTCAGCTGCAAATACCAGCAAACAATGTTCTCCCACCCTTTTCACATGAAACCGTGCGACGTTCGGGACCCGGTCCCTTTGAAAGGAACATTACTACCAGGAGCCAGGTTCCTTGCTTGGTGGGAGGCTCCCAATTTGCACCTGTGGATGGCTGTGAAATCCCTAGAGGCACCACCCTGGTGAAATCCCCCAATGTAAATACCGATGGTTTTAACCATGGTTCCAAAGTGGTGCGAAATGGATCAATAGGGGGTGGTCTCACCAATAGAGTTGTTCTCCCCACGTTTACACGAGCTGGGTTGACTTGCCCTACCCGGGAGCAAAGCAATAGGCTATGATGTGTTTTAAGGGTACCTGGGGATGTGTCAAAAGGAAACTAAAGGGACACCAATGCTGGGGGGTTGTTTAAACCAGTTTGCCCAACTGTCGCACATGAACAGGAGGAAACCCACAAAAGAATGCTCCCATGAGGGGGGTTGATCCGCTGTAGAGTTTCTATTCAAGTGTCAAAATGAAATTCCAGCAAAGTGTGTTGGTTTGCTGGGAAGTATCATGCTTGCATTGTCTATAGACCCTCATCATAGGAGGCATGTCGCTGTTCAGCGGTTTTTGACCACCAACAAACGCACCAAACGAAAAAGACACCGCGCCCTTCAAGTGTTTACAGAACTGCCCAAAATGGATGCAGACAAAAAACAAAATCCACCACTCGGTTGAGCTACAAACCTCGGAGATGGGAACACCGAACGTGAGGGTGGAGAAACTCGCTGGTGCGATAGGTAGGGAATGACCGTTCCGTGTGTTGGGAATGAACCTCGGGATTCCCCGAAGGGAATCCGTATGGGGTGGTAGGGGGTCATTCCCTCATTCCCTGCTGAGAACCATCAAGGAAAGTGCTCAAGAAACCGTCCCCCATGTTCAAAGGAAAGCCATGGCGAATGACCAGTCAGCTTTCGAGGGCCCAACCCAAAAGACGTTTGTCTTCAAGCAGTTCGGCGGCTTCAACATTCGAGCGGGCAAATTCTTGCTGTGATGTCCACTGATGTTTGCCACACACACTGAACGATCAAGGAGAAAACCGCCTTGGAAGCCGCTTGGGGCTTCCGAGCCAGATGGGTGGGTTTCAAAGGCAAAAAACAAAAAGGAACACCTCGCCAGTTTGGCGAGGGTCCAGAAAAAAAGGACGAGCCAGCCACACACCCGCCACGGGAAAGTGATGAGGGCACCCGTTTCGCAGCCCATGTCCAGCGAGCAATTGGGTCTCTAGTGCCCAGAGCCAGGTTGCCCAATTCTGAGACCAGTTTGGTCGGTTGCCACAAGTGCTCCTCCTTTTGGAGTTGGTACACCTGGTTTGTTGTTTTTTGGGCAACCCAAAAGAAAAACCCACGATCTTGGGGGCCCCCTACGAGGAGACGCAGAACCCTTTCCGGACAACGGCCTAACCCCTGCGTGGCTCCTGCAGCAAGAACTCGCAGAGGGACTGCGCAGTGGTGACGCTGGTCTTTAGCATCACCTGGCTCCCTCTGGTTGGTTTAGATTGGTTGGAAGGGTAATTCGGGGCGGTTTCCCCTTGACCCTCTAAAAAACCCAGGGGAGCAAATCCCCAAGCCGCCAAGTAAGGGCCACCTGGGAAAAAGCGCTGAACAAAACGGTGGTATCCCCAATGACCCAACCCCCCCCCCCCCCCCCACCCTTCCGGAACCGAAAAACCGCTTCGCCGGAGCTGCCCCAAACCACTCCGGGGCTCTGCAAAGAGACCGTCCAGCCGGTGAAAAAGATCCGGGGAGTGGCGAGCAACTGCCACCGCTTTTTCCAGGTGAACCAAGCTAGGGCCATCCATTTTGCTGCGGGTGGCGGGGAGGGGGTTGGACTCTTTGGACGATTTTGAGTTTGGGAGTGTCCACATTGGAAAGCGTGGTCGAACTGAATCAATTGGAGCGCCTTTTTTGGTAAAGGGCCCCCCAAGCATCCCCATATCGTTAACAACGTCTTCGAAAAGACCCCCACCCCCACCACATGCGTAGTGCCATGAAGGGCCGCGAATTCCATTCTGGGCAAAAAAACGGACAAAACAGGATTTGGGGAACCCACCCCACCCACCCCACCCACCCCACCCACCCTATTCACCCTATTCACCCCGCCCACCCCACCCACCCCACCCACCCCACCCACCCAGCTCTCTCCCCGCCTCTTCGATGCCGTTCAAGACGGCGCCCCCAATGAGCCCCTGCACGTGCGCGCAAACGCGGACCAGCAGCGCGAAGGTGTCCATCGAGGGCTGGGAGTGGTACCTCGCGAAGGCTTGGATCAGCCAGGTTTGAAGGAAAAGTCACAACGGGAAATCGGAAAAACCATCGAACCCTGCCCTCACAAAAGAAAAAAACAAAGGGGATATCCAAAACAAAACGTTTCGAAAATCCGCGGACAAACAGGATCAAACGGGTTGTGTAAGGGCAACCTTCTAGAGGGCCTTTTCAAAAGAAACCAAAGCCGAAGCGGAGAGACCCGGAAACCAAAGGTTTGCCTTGGTCTGAATGTGGACTGGAACACCAACCTGTCAGTTCAGGTCAGCTCTCGCTTTTTGTTGGGCCTTGAGAATCCCGGGCCCCAACAAAAACGGGGGTAGACTCGGCCCGAGACTGTGACGACAAGGGACGCCCCTCCCAAATGGAATGGAAGAAAAGGGCAGTGGGTCGGGTGGGTGAGTGGAAGAAAGGGGCAGCCCCAAACTAGGGTCACTGTTTTGATCTTTTCGTTTTCTAGGCTTTTGGGTGGGTGACCTTTGGAGACCCTGGAAGTCATGGCACCAGAGCTCCGCCAGGCTCAGCTGGCCCTTGGACAACAAGGCCTCCAACTGCGCCACCTGCGCTCGTTTGCGATCGCTGCCTCTTGGTATGGAATGAGAAATGGAATGAACCCTGGGGGGCCGGGGGGGGCCGCCGGGGGGGGGGGTCATAGTTGACAGACTTTGGTCCCCGAATAAAGGAAACCACAACGTAATTGATATTTGGGTCATTCCATGTCTCATTCCCTGAGCGGAAATCTTGGACTGCCGTTGGGTCTTCCTTCAAAGCTAAAAAAACACGCATATTTCACTGTCTAGGGTGTGATTCCAACCATTCTTCTCAACCGTCGTTCTGTTCGAACACCGACGTTTTCCCTGGGTTTCGTGAGGATGTTTGGAAGGAAGGATCCCTAGAGCATGGGAAAGATAGCCCCTGCACGGTGGTACAAGATTTCCTTTTACCGGAAAAATGGCTGGGACCATAACAACAAAGAGTTTCTGAAAAATGATTGGTTTCCTCTTGGTTTGCTGTCAACTACCAACCGAAGGGGGTCCACCATTTTGAGAAACACTCAAATGAGTTGGATTTTGTGGTGAACACTACGTTTCCGCAATGTCCCGAAAGGATCCCAAATTGACCATAGACTGGCTTAAGCTTTGGACCGAACCTGATGCGACACCATAAAACCCTTTTATCATATAAGTGTTTCTACCAAAAATCAATGGTCGAGGAGAAGAGCAGTTTTCGACCCTGACCCGGGCTTGGAATCATTGTTGAAATCTGATCAATAACGCAACTATTCCAAGGAATGGTATGTCTGGGGGGGTTTCTCATGAAAACTGAACTGTCTAGAGCAAAACTGCCGGTCGATGGGCAAGGTAAGAAGTTGGCCACCATCGCACCGAAGGGTCGTTGAACACTTAACTCCTGCCCTGAAGCACACCTAAGGGATCTTGGGAGCAGCCCAAAATTCCGTGAGAAATGGTCACTGGTCGGAGCTCTCGACATAGTGAGGCGGCTTAGCCCGGCATTTGGAGGTTGCCTCAAAAGCTGCCCTCGCTTTCCAGGTGGCATCGCAAGCGCTGGACGCCAAACAGCTGGAAGGAACACAAACAGTTGCCCATGTCTTCGGTTCTTGTTTGGAGCTAAATCCATGTATCCCTTCGTTTTTCTAGGGCCAATTTTCTGGGCGCCTTTGGATTCGGAATGAACAGAAGAAAGAAAGAAAAACGCGTCCTCCGGTCACTCGGGCCCCTTCCTTCATGGACCCCTATGGCGAGGGGGGCTATCCCGTATTAAGCCCCAAATATGGCCTTATTAAAACCTTATCCTTGGGAAAAACCCTGGGCTTATCAGGGATGCGCCCCCCCCCCATCCATGCCCCCCCGAAGATTCCCCCCATGCCCACCCCCCCCCATGAAAAAACCCGAGTCCTCCGGTCGCCACAACCGCGCCACGACCCGCCGACAAATTTCGGACTCGCGGAGGGCCTTGGAGGCGAACTCGTTGAGCAGCTGCCGCAGGGCCGCGCACAGGGCGTGGTTCACCGCGCCGAACTCGTGGCGACTGTGCTGCTCCACAAAGGCCTCGCTCTCGCTTTCTTTTGCGTATATATATATATATGTGTGTGTGTTGCTTTGTTGTTTGTTGTCTTCTTTTTAAGTGTTGTTGTTGTTTTTTCCCCTTTCGGGGGCGACGCGGCCGGCCGTGACTCGACCAAAAAAAGACGAGAGTTGTTTCTGGCCGATTCTCCGAAGAAGCCTGGTGAGAATCTGTTGGGCCCAAGCGCTACAGTTGGCACAAATGAGATTTCGAGCAGACAATGGAGCCAGAGTTGGAAGTTTAGTGACTCGCACCTGAAATTGGGAACACGAATTCACCGATACGGGGCAAGCGGTGCGAGCCTCTGGAAAGGAACCAAGGTCTATTGCCTGACAAATCTGCATCTCTGCATCCCTTGGATGCAAGGAACCTGAAACCGACGTCGAGTTATCGAGTCCGACATGGCCATGGGTCAAAATCCAAATCGTAATTCCAGACCTGCCCCAAAATGGGATACCATTGGTTTTAACAACCACAGCCACATCTTGGCCCCTATCAGCCAACTGTTGGCCGCCAGACGCCGTCATTTCGAGGATGCGCCTTCTCGCCGTCATTTCGAGGAGTTCACTTTCCTAGGGCCCTCTTGGGGGAAATGGCGTCCGACGTAACACGGAAACTTTCAAGAATCTACGCTGGGCACACCTGGAAAAATCAACTCACCGACGTTTCTTTAAACCATTCTGGGCACGTCCTCAAAAAAACCGGCCAACTTTGGCGTTCCGTCGTCTTCTCCAAATGGTGGACCAATTGTGGACCCCAAGAATGGGTGGTTTCCTTTTGGATTCGCTGTGTCACAACCCCAACCATAGCTGTACCTTCCCTGCTCGCCCAAAAAACAAGAACTAACTTCCCCATGGGCCCCAAAAAACAAGACAGACACACCTACCTTCCCTATCCTCCGAAAAACGACACCGTTTAAAGAGGCAACAAAAAGAGAAAAACAACACAACAAAGGCCACCCCCCCACACACCCCTCTAGAGAAAAAGGAAGAAAACTACCTTCCCCATTCTTGCCCCCTCCCCTCCCAAAAAAAAAGCTACCTTGCCCAATCCCCCCCAAAAAAAACACATTCTCTCCCCCTCCCCCCAAAAAAACTACCTTCCCCACCCCCCACCCCCCAAAAAAAAACCACCTTCTCTCTCCCCCCCCCAAACAAAAAAACGCGCCTCCACAAAGGCATGGTGGTCGCACAACGGCAGCAGCTGCGCCAGGAACTGGGCCGTCGAGGGGTCCGCGCCCGCGGGCGCCGTCTCGAAGTTGCCGGAAGCCCCGCGCCGGATGTAGCTGCCTGTCTGAGGCGTTTCGTTTTTGTTCGTTTTGTTCCCCCCCCCCTTTTTGTGTCTTTGTGCTGTTGTTTTTGCGTTGTTGTCTTTGTGTCGTTGTTTGTTTGTGTTGTTGTTTTTTGTGCTGTTGTTTTTTGTGTTGTTGTTTTTGTGTCGTTGATTTTGTTTGTTGTTGTTTTTGTGTCATTGATTTTGTGTGTTGTTGTTTAAAAAGAAAACGGGAGTCTGCGGGGAATTGCCCGATTCCAGCCGATGTCCAGATAAAGCCGGGGATATGTTCGTTAATAAGAGATGGGATCTTGGGTGCTGCTAAAAGAAGACCCGCAAAAGATGCTAGGTACGAACCCTGGGCATGAACCGGGGAGTCTGCCCGGGGGAGGGGGTGGTCTCCATTCTATTGTCTGAGTCGTTGTTCTATTGTTTCTCTCGTTGTGCTTTTCTGTTTGTCGGTGTTCCACCTCCCTCTTCTGCCCGGGGAATCACCATATTCCAGCTGATGTCCATAAAACCTGGGATATGTTGGGGATTATTTGGATGATTTTGGGTAATTTCGCTGTGCAATCCCAGGATGTAATAGGAAAACCCTTGCAGCCTGGGTTCAGAGACCCGCCAGAAGTCCAAAAAAAAACCTTCTTTTTGGGGTGCCCGTTTAGTTCATGGAATTAAAGGGAAACCAAAATGAAACTAATCAGTTTGATTCCGCAAGTTTGAGACAGACCTGCATGTGTTTTCACGAATCTCATGGCTAAGAATCACTGGCCCTGGCACGATGTTCCACGAGAATCGGTCATGTGCATGGGCTTCCTGGTTTGCTCCAAGCGCTCAAAAATACGGAGAAAGGTCCTTAGACCTGCTGTAGGCTTATTGGAAGAACCATTTGTTTCCAAAAGCCCCTTTTGGGGGCACTTGGTCACACCAAAAACCAGGCATGTGAAGGCAGCTTTCGGACGTGAAGGGCAAGGAACATGAGAAAACATGGCTGCCGGGGGCAATCTCTGGAGAAGGCCGGTGGCACTTTTCTGGAAAAGATGCCATGAAGAAAACAAAAAAGAAAACACACACACACACACTCTTTGGCCCAAGGGATAGCCAGTCAACTGTCGAGTCGAGCAGGTTTCCCTCTTGCTACTGCAACAGGGAAGCAACACGGTTCAGGAAGGCGGCCAAGAAGACCTTGTAGCTGCAGATACGTCAGGTTGATCCGCCCTGATATCGCGACACCGTGGAAACCTTCGTTGGTCACAGCTCCGTGGGCCTCTGGGCCCTGCGGTAAGTTGGCAAGTTGGAACTCGGCACACACTCACACAGACACACACTCCCCATAGGTGCGACCCAAACAGAAAGGGAAACAGAGCCAAAACAAACCAAAACAAAGCAAAACAGGGTCAAGTTGGGTCTCAGCGGACACAACCCTAACCAAGAAAGAACAGTCACAGACCAAGAAAGAAGACGAGGATAAGACAAGACAAAGTCCTGACGGAGAGGGCATACTGTATCATACTAGCAACAAGACCGACGCGGCGAGGAACACCAGGCGGAGCAAGACAAAAAGGACGAGCGAGAGGAAAAGGACGCCACTCCGCAAAGGGGCCCACAGAAGGCGCACAAACCATCGGACGGAGAACGGCCCATGGATCCCGCGATAGGCCACGCGATAAGGCCAAGAGCAGGACGACGAACAAGCAAAGAGGTAGACGAAAGTGTGATAAACACTTGGACTCCCAAGAGGGATAGCCAATCAAGCAAGAGATCCATTGTCAAGCATGCCGATGCAACATCGAGCACTGTTGAGTCCAGCTGGATTCCCTCCAGCTACTTTAAGAGAGCACCTTGTAGCACTGCAGGTAGAGAGCTTTGCTGTTGCACACACACAGACACCCAAGTCTTTCTTCCCTCTTTCCTGTTGTTTTCGGGCCGCCCAACCCCCCTGTCAGTTCCCCCCCCCCCGTGGAAGGGTAGACCATGTATAATGTGGCGCGCGCGCGCGTGGCTCACATGACCCGCACGCCCCTTGTTGTTTTCATTATTCGAATCACTCCATATACTTTTGCAGGGGCGGGTGACTGTTGAGGAATGCCAGATCCAATTCTTCTAAGTGTCTAATTCTTCCAAATATTCCCGAATGGACGGGCGTGCTTTGGATCTTCAACGCAATTTCCATTTTTGTGCAGCTATTCTAATTGTTTTGTTCCCGCAAGGGACTGGAGCCCTTTGGCGAATTTCAGATCCATGCTTGCTCCAACTATTCTGCTTCTAAACCTACTATCTTATCTTATTTTATTTTCCAAAGCGAGGGCTTCCTTTCGGGAAATGCAACACTCATGCTTGTTCTAATCATTCTAAGCATTCTCACAATTCTAACATTCTGTTTTTCAGTGGCCGGGCGCCTTGTTGGGAATGTCCAGATTCACTTTGAGCTAATCATTCTACTTCTCATTTTTTATCCTAACATGTGTTCCCAAAGGGACGGGTGCTTTCTGGGGAAATCCAGACTCACTGTCTAATTACAATGATGTTCTAACTAGCCTAATTCTTCGATTTGTTCAAAATGGGTTGGGTGCTTTCGTGGATTTCCTGGCTATACTCTTCTGATTTTTCGGTTTATGCTAGTTATTCCCAAAGGGACGCGTGCCTTTTGAGAAACTAACCAATTCATTGTTGCTAGTTGATCTACTTATGCTAAGAACTTGGATAGGTAGTATAATTAGAACACAGTTCCCTATTACTCATGTTTCTGAAAGGGACAGGTGCCTTTTGGGGAATTCCAGATGCAATTGATTTATTTCGTCTAATGATTCTTTATATTATCATTCTAAGTGTTCCAAAGGGACGGGCACCCATTGGGGAAATCCAGATTCAGTGTCTGTTCTAATCATTCTACGGTTGATTTGTCCAACTACACCAATTATTGTGGAATTCAAGATTCATGTTTGCAATACGCAACTGTCAGAACCATTCTCGTTACTCTATTTTTTTCCCGAGGGGCCCTTGGGGAAATGGCAGATGTGTTTAGATCATTTCAAGTCTTGGAGTGGTTCCAACTCGTTGAAATAAATAGAATAAGACGAAGACGCGTAGCCGTATTTGTACGCGTAAATCGTGTGTATCTGTTCTAGTTATTAAAATGAGTCTACCGAATTAGAATATTAAACAACACAGACCAGATAACGCCCTTTGTTTTTCTAGCCACTCGGCTCATTCTAACTGTTCAAACAGGGGCGCGTGCCTTCTCAGGAAATCAACATCACTTTATTTGCAAGTTCCTGTAATTGTTCAAGCTGTTCTAGTTATTCCTCACGGGAAGGATGCCCTTTGGGGAACCCCAGATCCATGTTTCAAATTGTTCTACTCATGTATTCCGAAAGGGACAGGTGCCCTGTTGGGCGGAATTCCCGATTCATTGACTTCTAATTAACTACTTTTCCCATTGATCCGAATATCCAGGACGATAAGAGAATATATGTTTTGCTAACTGTTCTAAATATTCTACTTGTTCCCAACTGGACAGGTGCCTGTTTGGGAATTCCAGACTAATGTTTGCTCCAGCTATCCTGAGTAGTTTCATATTCTATCCATTGCCCAAGGGACGGGTGCCTTTTGGGCGAATTCCAGATTGGTGTGTGTGTGCCAATTTTTCTAACTCTCTAAGTATTCTGATTATTCCCAAAGGGGCGGGTGCCTTTTGAGGAATTCAAGATTCATCTTGCAAATTACTTTATTTAACACAAATCTTCTAGTTCTTCTAATTGTAATCTCTAGGGGGTGGGGGTGCCTTTTACAGAATTTCAGACTCGTGTTTGCTCTAGGTATGATACTTTTATCAAAAGAGATGGGGCCTTTTAGTGAATTCCATAATTTTCCCACACTGTTCCAATCATTTGAAAAAATCCAGCTGAGCAGCCTTCTTTTGGTGAGTAGAGAGGGTGACAGTTGGGAATTCCAAATCCATGTCTTCTAAGTCTCTAATTCCTCCCATTATTCCCATTATTCCCCGCGTGCTTGGGAATTTTCAGGTTCAATTTCACCAGGAAACAGGAGCCGTTTGGCCAATTCCAGATCTAAGCTTGTTCTAATTCTTCTACTTCTTATAAGTACTATCATTATCTTATGTGCATCCCAAATGGAGGGGTACCTTTTGGAGAATTCAATATTCATGATTGTTCTAACTAGTCTAAGCGTTCACAACTCCAACTCTTCTACTTATTTTCAATCGGCCGGGAGTTTGTGCTAATTAGTCTACTTCTCATGATTCTTCCAACATTTATTTCCAACGGGGCGGGTGCCTTCTGAACATCCAGGCTCACTGTCTAACTACAATAATTATTCCATTTAATCTAGCCTAATGCTTCGATTTAAACTATCATGTTTGTTCTAACTAGTCTAAGCATTAACAAGTCTAACTGTTCTACTTATTTTCAATGGGCCGGGAGCCTTGTGGCGAAGTCCAGATTCAGTTTGTGCTAATTATTCTACTTCTCACGATTGTTCTAACATTTATTTCCAAAGGGGGGTGGGGGGGCGCCTTCTGAACATCCAGGCTCACTGTCTATTTACAATATTTCTTCTATTTATATTAATCTAGCCTAATTCTTCGATTTAAACTATTATCATTGTCTTATTTGCTTTCCAAATGGAGGGGTACCTTTGAGGAATTCAATATTCATGTTTGTTCTAACTAGTCTAAGCATTCACAAGTCTAACTGTTCTACTTATTTTCAATGGGCCGGGAGCCTTGTGGGAAAGTCCAGACTCAGTTTGTGCTAATTATTCTACTTCTCATGATTATCCTAACATTTGTTTATGTTTAAAGGGGCGGGTGCCTTCTGGCAAAATCCTGACTTACTGTCTAATTACAATACGTGTTTTATCTTCCATGTATTAAATGAGTGTTCCTCATAAAGGGGCGCGTGCCTTTTGGGAAAATCCAAATTCATTGTTGCTAGTTGATCTACTTAGTCTAAGAATTTGGATAAGTAGTATAATTAGAACATTGTTCCCTATTACTCGTCTTTCTGCAAGAGACAGGTAGGTGCCTTTTGGGGAATTCCAGATGCATCTGTTTTAACTCGCCCAATGATTCTTTGTAATATTGTCATTCTAAGTATTCCAAAAGGACGGGCACCCTTTGGGGAATCCAGATTCAGTGTCTGTTCTAATCATTCTACTTCTTTGATTTGTCCAATTGCACTAATTAGTCTCAAAGGGGCGGGGTGCCTTTTTAGGGAATTCAAGATTCATGTTTGCCATAGGCAAGTGTAAAAACATTCGTGTTAGTCTATTTTTCCCGAATGGGGAAGGGGCCCTTTGGGAAATGGCAGATGTGTTTAAAACATTGTGAGTATTGGAGTGGTTCTAATTAGTTAGAATAAATAGAATAAGACGAAGACACGTAGCGCAATTTGTTGTTTCTTGTTTGTGCCACGGGGGCAGGTGCCTTTGGGGGAAGTACGCAAACATCGCGTCTAACTATTCAAGCCATTGAACTCATTCTGACAAATTAGACACATTAACAAAATAGACCAAATAACGCCCTTTTTTTCCAGCCATTCGGATTTTTCCAATTGTTCCCACAGCGACGCGTGCCTTCTCAGGAAATCCACATCATGTGTTGCGCAAGTTCCTGTAATTGTTCAAGCTGTTCTAGTTATTCCTCACGGGAAGGATGCCCTTTGGGGAGCCCCAGATTCATGTTTCAAATTGCTCTACTCATGTATTCCGAAAGGGACAGGTGCCCTGTTGGGCGGAATTCCCGATTCATTGACTTCTAATTAACTACTGTTCCCATTGATCCGAATATCCAGAACGATAAGAGAATATATGTTTTGCTAATTGTTCTAAATATTCTACTTGTTCCCAACTGGACAGGTGCCTGTTTGGGAATTCCAGATTAATGTTTGCTCTAACTATCCTGAGTAGTTTCATATTCTATCCATTGCCCAAGGGACGGGTGCCTTTTGGGCGAATTCCAGATTATTGGTTGTGCCAATTTTTCTAACTCTCTAATTATTCTGATTATTCCCAAAGGGGCGGGTGCCTTTTGAGGAATTCAAGATTCATCTTGCAAATTACGTTGTTTAACACACTTCTTCTAGTTCTTCTAATTGTAAGGATTCGGGTGCTTTTTGGAGAATTCCAGATTCACCTTTGTTCTAATCTGATCTGTTCTAATCATTTTTCGCAAGGAATCATTGCTATTCGACGTTCTCTGCTTATTCCGAAAGGGGCGGGCGCCTGTTGAGGATTTTCAGATTCCTTTTTGCCCTGATTTGTCTACTTCTTCTGGTTGTTCTAATTCTGCTAAGTACTCACAAAGGGACGGGTGCCTTTTGGAAAATACAATATGATTTTATGTTTTCTTTCTGCTTATCGTAACTGTTCCCATTCTTCTAGTTAGTCCCTAGGGGGCGGGGGTGCCTTTTACAGAATTCCAGACTCGTGTTTGCTCTAGGTATGATACTTTTTATCAAAAGAGATGGGGCCTTTTGGTGAGTTCCATAGTTTCCCACACTGTTCCAATCATTTGAATAATTTCCAGATGAGCAGCCTTCTTTTGGTGAGTAGAGAGGGTGACAGTTGGGAATTCCAAATCCATGTCTTCTAAGTCTCTAATTCCTCCCATTATTCCCATTATTCCCCGCGTGCTTGGGAATTTTCAGGTTCAATTTCACCAGGGGACAGGAGCCGTTTGGCCAATTCCAGATCTATGTTTGTTCTAATTCTTCTACTTCTTATAAGTACTATCATTCTCTTATGTGCGTCCCAAATGGAGAGGTACCGTTTGGAGAACAACTGTCCTACTTATGTTCAATCGGCCGGGAGCCTTCTGCGACAGTCCAGATTCAGTTTGTGCTAATTAGTCTACTTCTCATGATTCTTCCAACATTTATTTCCAACGGGGCGGGTGCCTTCTGAACATCCAGGCTCACTGTCTAATTACAATAATTCTTCAATTTAATCTAGCGTAGTTCTTCGAATTAAACTATTGTCATTATCTTATTTGCTTTCCAAATGGAGGGGTACCTTTGGGGAATTCAATATTCATGTTTGTTCTAACTAGTCTAAGCATTCACAAGTCTAACTGTTCTACTTATTTTCAATGGGCCGGGAGCCTTGTGGGAAAGTCCAGACTCAGTTTGTGCTAATTATTCTACTTCTCATGATTATCCTAACATTTGTTTATGTTTAAAGGGGCGGGTGCCTTCTGGCAAAATCCTGACTTGCTGTCTAATTACAATGCGTGTTTTATCTTCGATTTATCAAATGAGTGTTCCTCATAAAGGGACGCGTGCCTTTTGGGAAAACCCAAATTCATTGTTGCTAGTTGATCTACTTAGTCTAAGAATTTGGATAAGTAGTATAATTAGAATATTGTTCCCTATTACTCGTCTTTCTGCAAGAGACAGGTAGGTGCCTTTTGGGGAATTCCAGATGCATCTGGTTTAACTCGTCCAATGATTCTTTATATTATCATTCTAAGTATTCCAAAGGGACGGGCGCCCTTTGGGGAATCCAGATTCAGTGTCTGTTCTAATCATTCTACTTCTTTGATTTGTCCAATTGCACTAATTAGTCCCAAAGGGGCGGGGTGCCTTTTTAGGGAATTCAAGAATCATGTTTGCAATAGGCAAGTGTAAAAACATTCGTGTTAGTCTATTTTTCCCGAATGGGGAAGGGGCCCTTTGGGAAATGGCAGATGTGTTTAAAACATTGTGAGTATTGGAGTGGTTCTAATTAGTTAGAATAAATAGAATAAGACAAAGACACGCAGCCCTATTTGTTGTTTCTGGTTTGTGCCACGGGGGCAGGTGCCTTTGGGGGAAGTACGCAAACATCGCGTCTAACTATTCAAGCCATTAAACTCATTCTGACAAATTAGACACATTAACAAAATAGACCAAATAACGCCCTTTTTTTCCAGCCATTCGGATTTTTCCAATTGTTCCCACAGCGACGCGTGCCTTCTCAGGAAATCCACATCATGTGTTGTGCAAGTTCCTGTAATTGTTCAAGCTGTTCTAATTACTCCTCAGGGGAAGGATGCCCTCTGGGGAACCCAAGATTCATGTTCCAAATTATTCTACTCATGTATTCCGAAAGGGTCAGGTGCCTGTTGGGGAATTCCCGAATCATTGATTCATAATTAGCTACTTTTGACCATTGAATCGAATAACTATGATAATAAGAGAACAAACGGGAACAATTTTTGCTAGTTGTTCTAAATAGTAAATTTGTTCCCCGCGGGACAGGTGCCTTTGGGAATTCCAGATTAAGGTTTGCTCCAACTATCCTGAATAATGTCATTATTCCATCCATTCCCAAAGGGACGGGTGCCTTTGGGGCGAACTCCTGATTCATGTGTGTGTGCCAATTATTCTAACTCTCTAAATATTCTGATTATTCCCAAAGGGGCGGGTGCCTTTTCAGGAATTCAAGATTCATCTTGCAAATAATCCTACTTATCACAATTCTTCCAGTTCTTCCAATTGCAATGATTCGAGTGCTTTTCGGAGAATTCCAGATTCATCTGTGTTCTAATTTAATTTGTTATAATCAATTCCTCAACGGATCATTACTATTCGACTTTCTCTACTATTCGACTTTCTCTACTTATTCCGAAAGAGCGGGTGCCTGTTGAGGAATTTCAGATTCCTCTTTGTCCTAATTGCTCCACTTCTTCTCATTGTTCTAATTCCACTACGTACTCACAAGGGATGGGTGCCTTTTGGGAAGTTCAATGATAATTTTGCTAAAATTCGACTTATCAGAACTGTTCTCACTATTCTAGTTCATCCCTGAGGGGCAGGGGTTCCATTTTTTGTTGCTGTAGGTTAAGTTTTCTATTTCCTGTAGTCCCGTGTAGTCCCGGGCCCACTTCCCGGAATCCTGGGCCCCTATTGTTTTTCTAATATTTCTAATTTGTCTCATTTTTTACTTAATTAGGAAAATTAGAAAATTCGAGGGGCCTTGTTCTTCTATTTTTATTTGTTTCTAATTAATTGGGAAAAATCGAGGCCATTGTTTTTCCATTTTTTAGGAAACTAAAAAATATCTGTAATCCCGGGCCCACTTCCCGGAATCCTGGGCCCCCTTTGTTTTTCTAACTTTTCTAATTTTCAATTAACTAGGAAAATAAGAGAAATGAGAAAATTCGAGGGCCTCTTTTTCTATTTTTCATTTTTTTCAATTAGGAAAATTAGAAAAGAATCGAGGCCATTTGGTGTCTAAGTTTTCTATTTTTTCTAATTCCTGTAGTCCCGGGCCCACTTCCCGGAATCCTGGGCCCCTATTGTTTTTCTAGATTTTCTGTCAGCTTGAAATTTTTTAAATATTTTATATCGGGGGCCCGGTGATTTAAATTATGTAAAATATTTAAAATATTTGGGCCCCAAATCAGTTTAAATATTTCAAATATTTTAAATCGGGGGCCCGGGGATTTAAACTATTTAAAATATTTAAAATATTTAAAATTTTAAATCGGCCCCAGCTCCAGAAATCAGGACCCGGGGATTTACAATAATTAAAATATTTAGGCCTCAAATAAGCTTAAATATTTTAAATATTTTAAATCAGGGACCCGGGGATTTAAACTATTTAAAATATTTATAATTTTAAATCGGCCCCACCTCCAGAAATCAGGACCCGGGGATTTAAAATGTTTAAAATATTTAAAAGATTTATTTAAGCAGCATTGGGCCTGAAATTGTGCTAAATATGCAGGAAAGGGTCCCGCGACACATTATACATACTCTACCCTCTTACCCCCCCCCCCCCGGACCGACCTTCTGGGAAAACCCCGCCTTCCACTCCCTGCAGGCAGAAGAGGAGGTCGTCCAGCAGGATGCACTCCTGGTCCTGCAGGCTCCGGCGCGCCAGATCCTCCGGCTCCAGCAGCGGCGGCTCCGGGCTCGCCTGAAAACGGCGAAGCGGGGTGCCGGGGGGGGGGGCGACGCGCCGGAGTTGAAACCTCCTTCCTTTCCTTTCCTTCAAGGCTTCCTTGCTTCCCTTCCTTCAAATTCCCTTGCCGACAATTCCCTTCCTCTCCTCTCCTTTCTTTTTTCCTGTCCTTCCTCTCCTATCCTTTCCTTCCCTTGCCTTTCCTATCCTTTCCTTCCTTACTTCCCTTACCTTCCTGTTTTTTTTCAAATCAGACTTCCTCACACCTTTGCCAAACAACTTGTTGGCGCTCAGCGGGCAATGAGAAATTTAAACCACCCCGAAGGAGAAAAAACAACTCCAAAACCGGTGGCGCGCTCGACCGCTCGACCGCCCCGCGCTCGGGGAGCCTGCGCCGCCAGGTCGGGCTCGAAGGGGATCCCCGCGCGGACCAGGCGGAAGCGCAGCCCCGGCACGCGGCCGTCCCGGCCCTCGCCGGACCGAAAGACCGAAAGCCGTGGACCCCTCGACCGCTGAAAGAGCGGGGAGCTGAGTGGAGAGGTTGAGGAGTGGTTTCAGACTTACCCTCAAAACAAGAAGCAATTCAAATCCCCACATCGTTGTAAAAAGATTAAACAAAACCAACTTGTACCCTGCTTGTTGCTTGACTGGCCCGGAAAGTTGAAGGGATTTGGGGCAAACCACGCTTCAAGCTTGGGGAGCACGCCCTCTTCGGAAGGCCCGCCCCCAATTTCGTCGTCCGAGTATCAGCGGCCTATCGCCCATCGAGGGAGCTCCAAAGTGCACGGAACCCGTTTGCACTGAAAAGACACATGGCCATGGGTCAAAATCCAAATCGTACCACCAGTGAACATCCCAATCCCCACCAAAATAGGTTCTAAAAATGGGTGGCGCGCCGAAAACCCCAAAATGGGATTGCACTGGTTTTGACCCACCGCCACCTGGCAGAAGTCTATCTATGGGATAAGCAACATGACCACGGCCCATGTACCCGGACTGCTTACGGTCCCAGCAACTTGAGGCCTCCAGTTTACGGGAAATTCGGGTGAGCCATTTCGTCCTCCCCCAACTAAGAAGAGATCAGTCATTTCGGCTCAGGTGGGCTTGCAACCAAAACTAGCTTGTTGCCCCTGAAAACCCGAGTGTTTTCCTGAGATAAAATGAAGAGAGATAGGATTCTTGAACCGCTTGGAAGCGTCTCTTTATCTTCACAACATGATTTCTAAAGAAGAAGGCAAGGGTGAGGGCTTAATAGCTGCCAATGGATAGACTCGTTCTTGACTAGGTGCTCCAGTAGAGAGAGAGGTTAGACTAAGGGTACCAACTTTTTCCTCTAGTCTATTTCAGTAGGGGAAGCCTCTCCACCCAAAACGGGGTGAGAAAGGGTAGTCCCAGCCAGAAATAGTTGCGGCCGCCTTCTGAATTCTTTGCATGGTTCTGGGCAGACCATTTTAATACCGGGTTTTGAGAAGGGGTAAAAGACCACCTAGGGGGACCTAGTTACCTGGAGGACGAATGGACATGAGTGGATGACACGGGAAGACCTCGAGCCCCACCCTCGAGGCTCGCCGATCTCCGCCTTGCACACCAGGCTGCACCCCGAGGCCCGCGCGGGCGACACCACGCCCGACAGCGGGGGCCCCAGGCCCAGGCAGTCGTTGTACTTGCCTCGCGCGAGATCTTCCACCGCCCTTTTTTGGGCTCAGAGAAAAAGCGCCAGGGGGGGGGGGTGCAGGGGGGTTGGGGTTGTGACAAGAGGCCTTTTTTGTTTTTCATCTAACGCACTCCTTGAGCAAACTCGTCCAATGATCTGCATTCCGCGAGCAACCTAGTAAAAAAGGGGAGGCAGAAATGTGTTTCCCTGGTTCCGATCTGGTGAATTTGCAACCAACCTCACCCCGTTATTTCTTTGCCCCAGAAGTGAGCTTCCCTGGTGTGTAAGGGAATTTATGTGCTTGGTTAGCCCGTATTGAAGCTCCATACTTCCAACCCCCCCCCCCATCCCCCAGGGGTGAGCCTACCACCCAACATGCCTGGCGGATCGCAGGAACGGACGTCAAAACAGCCTTCTTGCAGCTTCCTCCTGGAAGGAAGCAGGAAGTGGTTGCTCCTTCTCACCTTGGGAAACCAACACGAAACCCATTGGCCATTTTTGGGGTCTCCGCATACCCAAGTGATCCACTTTGCCGGCGGCGTTGGTTGGCGCCGGAGGTCGAATGGAGGTCTCCAGCCCCTCCTCATTCCCACAACTTGGCCATGGGTCAAAATCCAAATCGTACCCCCAGTAAACATCCCAATCCCGACTAAAATAGGTTCTAAAATGGGTGGTGCACCTACCCCAAAATGGTACCACTGGTTTTGACCCACAGCCACTTCTTTATCACTTTGAATTGGATTCCCTCACAGAAAGCGACAAGCTAGAGCCCACTATTTTTGACTTGCGGCTGTTTGTACTGGTTTTCTCTCTGGGGAAACTCCCCCATGGCTTCCGTACACATCACC